CACCATGACAGTCTGATCTCTGTAAACAAGTTGACCCAGCTCCTCAAAGATAGCTAGGTGCCTAACTCCCATTGAAATAATTTAAATCCATGGGATTTAGGCACTTAAATACCTTTGAGAAGTGGGACCATAGTTCCCCCTCATAACATGGCACTGTACACTGAGAAGTGTCAGGGAAAAGAAAATATATTCATGTTTGTTTTTTCCCCACGTAGTTATGTGATATCTGCAGCAGTTTGCATTTCCAGAATGGGATCTGATTCTTGCAGATTAAATGAACAAAGATGTCTTAACCCAAGTCTAAATACTAAAGTTTATGCTTAAGGCCCAGTTCATCCACAATAAAGGGAGTACGCATGGAGTGAGGTGCTACTCCTTGTGTGTAAGAGCAGCAGATTCCAGCTCCTGCTCCTTACTCATGCATACTCCACTGACTCTCAATGACAGTTTTGACTTAATAAGATCCAAGTTAAGGACTTCAGAATTTGGTCCAATGAATGTGTGACACTAGTGAAAGATTCCATTGGGTCAGTTCTGTTAATGCTGGCCTCATTATAATTAACAAGAGGTGCATCAGTGTAAATGAGCCGTGTATCTCTGCCCATTTCTCACACTGATGTCTGGACAGTGTTCTATGGTTAGCATGATAAGGCCATGATTTCAGGCCTGATTGCAGGTAAAATGTACGGAACCTCACCCAACACCATTAATATGAACCCACATTCGGAGACTCCATCAGGAAATGTTCTCAAAATCCTCAAGTCAGATATTATGCTAGTCTGGAAGGCATTGTCTTTTATTATAGAATCTGACTCCGGCAGTCAAAGCATTAATCAAAGAATGATTTTTCATAGCCTTTTGCTGCCAAAACAAAATTTAGTAAGTTACAGAATGAGCATTCAGCAATTAGGGTAAATAATGGGAGTTATGAGACCAATTTTATCAGCTTAAATATTAATCCTGATGTCCCACTTTGGGGATAAAGAGCAGCAAACAGAACATCCAGAAATCCAGTTAATCAAATCTTTTCCATCAAATCAACTCTGAGTCTCAGCAGCCTCCAACTCTTTCCCCTTCTTCTGTCATATTCTTCTCTGTAAAAGTATAAAAAAGAAGCTGGTATAGAGCTAGGAATCATAAAATAGAGAGAGAATGAATTTTAGAGACTTTCGCTATTTTTCTAGTCCTGCGATGAGCTGGATATTAATATTTAAATATCTGATATTTTTCTCCAGATCCAAACTTTAGGTAAAAATCTTGGCTAATGTATGATGTTCACAACACCATTGAATATCGTATACACTCAGTAACAGCAGTGTTAATGTGAACCCATCTTCTGGCAGCCCAGAGCACAAACAATCTCTTCAGTGGGCTGGGTTGATGGGGTCCTGGCTGGGTCAAAAAGCCAAAGTGTGCACAAAAAACAACCAGTCCACACCCCGATCTCCAAAGCCACTCTCTGCTCCAGTTGAGGAGCTTGGCAGGGCAGGCTGGCTGTGGGTTTTGAGGGGAGACAGTATTAGGATGGACACCTCTGACCCACACTTATCATGTTGTGGGGGGGGCTTTTGGAGAGGTGCTTATCTGCTGACCTCTTGTAGAATTTGGCCATTTGTCATTAAGCATCCACAGTTTTGGCACAAGTCGCAGACTCTTCATTCTAATAGTTACCTCAGTTTGCCAGGAGGCACTAACATCAATTCCCACAAATTTCAAGATAAGAATTAAGTCCTTCAATGCCAGTCTGTAATTCCCTGCCTGTTTAGTGTCATAGTGGCCTCCTGTTTTTCACAAATGTTCTTTTCCTTCCTTGACTTCCAATAATTTCCTTTTGGAGGTACATCAGAAGGTGACATCATTCCTAGTGTTGAACTCCCATTGGTACTCTGGGGAGTTCAGCATTTGCATCAAGGAAAAATTATGCCGTTTCAAATTTACCTCCATTTCTTAGATTTTTATGCTTCTTAGTTCTCAGACCCTAGTTTCCTAAATAAAGGCCCAGTCCTGTGATTCTTATGCAATTTTTACTCAATCCTTACTCTAAGGACTGAACAGAAACTGAAGTAAGGTTCCAAGGATTGTGACATAATGGCCAACGTTGGTATGGTGGGTCCCATGCTTTTCTTGGCAGGGGGGCTAGGATACCACCCCTTACCCCTGCTCTTGGGGTGCCAAGGGCCCCCCCTAGTGGCCCAGGAAGGTGGTAGAGGAGGGAAGCAGAGAAGGGGTCTGGGTTTGCTCCTCACTCTGAGCCCCAGCCCCTCTCAACCCCTATGGATTTCTTACCCTCTTCCCCCTTGGGTAGAGTTACCCTCGGTCCTTGACACTGGGGGAGGGAGTCTCTCTGCTGGGGCAGGGTCTCCCTTCCTCCGGTTCTCTGGTGTTTCAATTTTCAGCAACACGCCTCCAAACTCCAGTCCTCTCTCCTTCCTCACTCCGCCCTGTGTGCCTGAAGCAGAAGTTTTTTATTAGGTTCCTGGCAGGGCCTTAATTGGCTACAGGTGCTCCAATTAACCTGTAGCAACTTTCCCTAGTCTACAGGACCAGGACCCTACTGTGCTTTGTACATTGTACATACACATAACAAGAAAGATGGCCCCTGCCTCAGGGAGCTTACAGTCTAGTAGATGTCCTGTTTGAGTTGGGCAAATTGCTTACTTTCTCTGTGCTTCAATCCCCATCTGTAAAATGGGAACAATAGTATTTCCTTTTCTCCCACTCTACTGTCTGCCTTGTCTATTTAGATTGCAATCTCCTTGGGACAGGGACTGTTTCTTATTACATTTGTGTACAGCACCTAGAACAATGGGACCCCGAACTTGTTTGAGTCCTCTAGGTGCTATTCTAATACTTATTCTAATAATTATTCTAATACTAATTCTAATAATGCATAACAATCACTAATGCACAGAGTTATTTACCAGACTGTTCTTCTAATCTAGTTATTGTTATTGAGCAATCAGAAAGAAACATAAATCAGTGCATCCGCCTTACAGCATATAGAAGTACTTTTCAGAAGGCCAATATGAATATATTAAAACTCATTCAAGTACTCAAAAGCGAAACATCTTTAGATATTCTGGGGTAACATAAAATGATACAAAGTAAAGGACATTTACAGGTGTAAGGCGCTCTAGTCTCAGACTCAGTGACATACTATAGGATACCTTCATTGAAAGCTAGATATTTATATCCATTTTACTCTCCAGTTCTCTGCCACAGAAGTAGTATTTTCTAACTGAGCGAGACATTTATTAATACTTAAAGCACTGACTATACAGAAAGTCAGTGTTCCTATGTTCCTTCATCACACTTTTTTTTTCAAATCCAGATCAAGTTTGCATAGAATGTGAGTGTCAGATCATTCTTTGTACTGTAACCATGTTAAATAAAATACATTGTAAAGCCCATTGTGCTTTCTAGGTTCAGCCTGCAAGATGCTGTGCACTCTGGCCCTGATCCAGCAAAGCACTTAAGCACATGTTTAACTTCAAGCATCTAAATAGTCCCATTGACTTTAGTGGACTACTCCTGGACTTAAGTACTTGGCTGGATCAAGGCCAAAATTCTCAGTATCTGGCAGGTTTGAGCCCTCTGTTTCTAATGACACTAAGCTGATGGAGTCAGAAGAAATCTTACCTTTCTTATAGTGCTTTGGCACTTCTTTTCTAATGCCAACCAGAACCCAGAAGGACAGTCGCAAATATGAAAAATAATGGGGCAAAAAATTAAATTGGCTTTTTTTCCCAAACTTTTTTGATGAGTTTCTGGTTTAAGGTTCAGATTGGTTCCTGTTTTAGCCACTTGTCCCTTTGAAAAAGGGCTGTGAACAACTGCCTTGGCAGTGCTTGTGGGAACACAGGGAGTGTTCTCTTTGTGAGCGTGAAAGGGCACAATGCACACCAAAGAAGGGGAGGAGGGCCCGGGGAGCAGAGTTTGTTTGATGTGAAGTGGGGTAGCAAACGGTACCGTCCAAAGGGTGTACTCTCCACTTGTATGCTTTGGGCAGGAATTGTGCTGCCAGAGGCAAATGCCTCCTGCAGCTTACCACCACCCCCAACATAGGTCACTGACTGTATGTGCAAGTTACACCCATACCTACCTGCTTGGTGAAAGAGGGGTGTTTTGAGAGGTGAAACACAGGAAAGCAGGTTTGCAGAAAAATGTCCCAAGAAACTTGCTTTGTTAGGGCACTATTGTGCATTTTTAACTCAGTAGATTTGATTCACTAATAATCAACTGAACCAAACATCAATATAAATATTCAGTTTTGTGTAGAAGAGAGTTGCCCCATCTAGGATTGTACTTTTTGTCAATGTATTACTTAACTTGCATCTCAAACTTGTGTGAATGTTAAATTCAGTCAAAGAAATGCCATAATGGTTATTTCAGGTATAAGCGGGCAATTCAGAATACTGTAAAATACTAGAGATGGTTGGAAACCTATATAAAATTGGCACAGCAATTTTGACCTGTGTTTTTTGTCAAAATCTGTCAGTGAAAAAATTTCATCAAAATTTAAAATTTTGATTTTTTGTTTTTATTTTTACTAGTTGTATAGTCAGTCAAAGAACAGGACAAAGATATGAAAGTTTTCATCCCTTTTTATTTGTCAAAATTAGAAATTTTAATGAAAAATGTAATTGAAATTGAAAATTTTGAAAATTTTCAAACAATATAGAAAAATATGCAATTTATCTCTCTTCTTTTCTCTCTCTCTCTCTTTCCCTTAAGTTATGTCTACACTGGCAACATTCCCTCCTCACCCCCCCTAGAAAGACAAAAGTTTTGCCACGACGTGCCAGTGTGAACAGTGCATTGTCTGCAGGAGAGCCAACGAACAGTGGCTACACTGCACGACATTTAGCGGCACAGCTGTACCGATACAGCCCTGTCGCTAAAAGCTGTGTAGTGTAGACATAGCCTTATTCTCTTTCTTTCTTTTGTTCTAAGTTATGTTCCTGAGTTAATTGTGTGTTTGGTTTTACTCTCTCCTATAGATAACTGTGTTCCGTATGGGTTCTGAGGGGCAACAGGACATTGAGATGTCTATTTTAACTGCTCTACTTAAAGGTGAGTTTTTATGCAGGCAACAAATAAGGATGAACAAACCAACTTGGAAAAAAAAATAAACACTTGCTCTGTGTGGGTCATTCTAAATACCAAAACTTTTGTCTGTTCTGTTCTTATCAGTTCAGATTAGTAACCTCAAAGCGTTTGGTGTTTTGGGTTCAGGTCTGATAAGATATGAGCCCAATATGTAAGGTCTAGATCTGAACTTTTCCATAGCATTACCCTGAAGTTTCCACAGCTTCCTTCTTCCACTTGGGCAGGAAATACCAGAAGAACCTTTCTCATTTGTGTTTGCATTTGTTGTAGCCGTTTTGGTCCCAGTATATTAGAAAGACAAGGTGGGTGAGGTAATATCTTTTATTGGACCAACTTTTGCTGGTGAAAAAGACAAGCTTTCAAGCTACACAGAGCTCTTCTTCAGGTCTGGCAAAGGTACTCTGAGTGTCACAGCTAAATGCAAGGTGGAACAGATTGTTTAGCACATATTCTAAGGGACCATTCAAGGTGAAGTGTGGGAGAGAGCCCGGCGACAAAGAGCAGCTTCATTGCTTACCTTACAACAGCACAGCTGCAGCGGCACAGCCACACCGTTGTAAGGTGTGCAGTGTAGACGTAGCCTTAATAGCTTGTCTCTTTCACCAACAGACGTTGGTCCAATAAAAGATATTACCTCCCCAACCTGTCTCTCTGACCTGTCTCATAGTGTTTCAATACATCCAATTCCAGTCCTGGCCAGTGTATGCAAAATGATAAATAACATGGGGAGAGGGAAGAAGATAACTAGATTTTTTTAAACCTCAAAAAAAATGTAGTTCAAGGATTGGAGTGAGGCTTTATAGTCACTTCTAAATGTAATTGGTTTGTCTGTCCAATAAGCTTGCTCTCTCTTTTCTAAACCCCCTAAGATTGTGGCTGAGTCTATCTTTGTTGGAACAACTGCTATTATCAAATGTTATGCACTTTGGAAGTTGATATCAGTTGATTACAAAAGAGACTTTAGGTGAAAGATGTAGGGAAAAGAGAAGCATGGGATTAAGGAATCACCAGACCTGTGTTTAGGGCATCTGCCAAACTGCTGATTATGCTCTGTGGAAGGGAGGGGAACAGTATTAGGGATAAAGTCAGCAGGGTTTAGAGAAGGAAGAAGCCTTTTAGAGGAGCTGCTTAAGCTCTGATAAACATCTAGACTCTTAGCAAGGAGTGGGGATTTGTTATGGAGTGGCAATAACCCCTGAAACCACCCACCCACACTTAGCTTAGCCCCACAAAACTTGCAAAAATATACCCAAAGTTCAACATAGCAAATGAATAAAATCCCATTTCCTATTCAATCGATCCATTTCCCATCCTCTCCTAGTAAATTATCTGTACCTTTACATAGGTCCTAACAAAAGTGTTTAGTTTAAAAAATTGTTTGTGTGTGGGGTGTAAATCAGATGGGTGATAATGAGGATGGAGGATGATATGACAATGCAGAATGAGCTGGATCACTCAACTGGCTGGATTAAGGGATCCAGCCAATTCCCCTCGGCCGTGTCATTTCCAAACATTCTAACGCTTGAGTTTGGTTTTTGTTGTTGTTTTTAAAGTAAATCTTTGTAAAGAAAGTAATGTTGGTTTGGACTGTTAGCTGGATTCCAAAGCACACTCTCAGCCATAATGCTCTTATTACAAAGATTTTTGTTTGCGAGCTAATCTGAACCTTTTGAGATTATTCTGTCGCTTCTGACAATTTTTCTTGAACATTTAAACTACATAATGTTGTAGAGAAAGATATTGTATCACTAATGTGTATAAATGAGACAAGACTAATACTCTTGCTAAAACAAGTAAGGGACTAAGGTCCATTTCTGCGAACTGCAAGGAAAAAGGGAGAATGTTACTATTCCCAATTTTGAAAGGATTATTGGGCCGAATCCTCAACTGGTGTAAAAAAATCATAGCTCCATTCATTTCAACATAACTACTCACCGTTAGACCAGCTGAAGATCTGATCTAATCCCCAGAGAATTAAATTACAGTGGTGTCCACTCATTTACATGAAGTGTGAAATGCTAAATACTTTTGTTTGCTTAGGTACCAACGCATCTGCACCAGATCAGCTGAGCTTGGCATTGGCCTGGAACCGTGTGGACATTGCACGTAGCCAAATCTTTGTCTTTGGACATCACTGGCCGGTAAAGCTGCTTTTCCTAGACCGATTAGTTAGCAATTATTTTAAATTACGTGGAAAATATCCCTTCCTTTGATTTTCTTGGCAATGACAGTAATGTTGAATTCTTTTGGTATGCATGATGACCTGGTCTGGAATATTCCATATGGACTGTTCATTATAAAATATCACCAGTCTACCTTTTCCAAAAAGTTAATAATGACAAAACTCGTGTGCTTTTGAAATGAAAAGTAGCAGCATAAAATTAGCAAATGAATTTATTCAAGATTCCTCTTGAGGCAAGAAATTCAAATAATGGAAATCATATGGGGCCTGATTTATGCTGAGTGCATATCTACACTAGAAATTTAAATCGACCTATGTTAGGGCATCGCTTTAACTACACTGACATAAGCCCTGCGCTTCTCGTGGTTCATGTACATTCTGCCATCCTTCTGTTGGTGTTGTGCGTCCACACCAGGAGTGCTTCCACCCACTTAAGAGGGGCAGTGTCGGGGGCTGAGAACCTGGGCTCTCAGCTCCGCACGCAGCTCCCTGCAGGAAGCCCGGCTGCCCTCCACCCTCTGCACCAGCTCTCGGCTCCCTGCTCCCCGCCACCAGGAGCCCAGCTGCCCTGGCTCCCAGCAGGGAGCTCTGCGCCCGAGGCTGGGCGGCTCCTGGCCTCCCAACAGGGAGCCGGGAGCCTTGGTGCAACCGGGCTCCGCACAGGCAGCCGGGAGCCTCCAGATGGCACCTGGGCTCCCCATTGGGAGCTGGGAGTCTCCAGGCAGCAGCCAGGTTCCAAGTTGGGTGGGCACAGCCCAGCTGGGGTAAGGCGCCCAGAGGGGCAGCCAGGCTCTAGCTGGAGCTCCTCATCCACCTAGCGGTGACAACTCGGCTTTCAGCGTGGAGCCGTGAAATTGACAAGAATGACAGCCAGCAGCCAATGTAAGTAACTCAGGGTCTACACGGACACTACATCGTTACACCAACGTAAGCCCTATGCCTCTCGTGGAGGTGGAGTTATTATGTTAGTGTAATAGGCACATACATCAGTGGGAGCAAGGCTGTAGTGTGTACACTGACATAATTAGATCGACATAAGCTGCCTTCCATCGACCTAACTCTGTAGGGTAGACCAAGCCTCAGACCTCAGCAGAACCAGTCATCACACCCATAGTGAACTGCATGTTCTAGTAATACTACTTAGACCTCCGGCTGCCTGACTGGTGAGTACAAGCGGGTGGTTAGATGTCTAGCTCTAATAAATTACACAGTAGGGCTGGAAATTATAAAGGTACCTAGGAGACTCCTTTGAAAATCCCAGTTTGAATTAATGGGACAAAATCATGACCACAAAGAGACCAATGCTGAATATCAGGCCCTTAGTGTATGAGATGATGCAAAATGAATCTAGGGGTGAGATTTTCAGAAGTGCCTAAGGCATTGGAATGGGTCTTGTGCTCTTAAATCATTTTTAAAGTGTGATACTGCACCCATTGAAGTTAATGGTAAAGCTCCCATTGATTTCAATGGGGGAAGATCAGACACTTGAGTGCTTTTGAAAATTCTACCCTAGAGTCATTCATGTAACTAAAAAAAACCTTGTTTTAAGCCAGTTTGGTGACTCAATATGCTGGTGCATTTTGCTTTACTACATGAACCATCTGGTATGAAATTATTACAAACAGGGCCGGCGCTTCCACTAGGCAACCCTAGGCAGTCGCCTAGGGTGGCAGGATTTGAGGGACGGCATTTTGCTGCCGTCAGCAGAAATTCAGCAGCGGGGGGTCCTTCCGCTCCAGGTCTTCGGTGGAAATTCGGCGGTGGGTCCTTCACTCGCTCCGGGACCCGCCGCCGAAGTGCCCCGAAGATGCAGAGCGGAAGGACCCCACCGCCGAAGACCCCAGGCCCCCTGAATGCTCAGGTGGCAAAAACCCTGGCGCCGCTCCTGATTACAAAGTGTTCTGAGGAACCACGAAGAAATAGGCCATAAGAATTAAGTAAGGTTCTTTTTTTTTTTAATTAGATGTCTTTCTTGAAATGACGTACAATAAAATGGTCAGTAAAATACTTTACATCCACACTATGTGCTTCATTGAGGTTAATTTAATTTAGAAACCTCAGTCATTAAAAATTTAACCAACAATCCTTCCTGTATACGCTATTTTATTCTTTCCCTGTTAGCAATGTGATGTTTCCAATATTCTCGGTCCATTAAAAACATTTTCATAAAGAGGATTTAGGGATCCTAAACAATATAAGTATTATTATAAATCAATTTATCTGGAGGAAATGTTCCAATCTCCACATTGTGTTTAGATTAAAAAACATCAACGGGCAAACAAAACCTACCGCTGTTTTGTCCAGTTTCATCTTTGTACTCTTCAACTCTTTGTGGAAATTACATGAGCCGATTACAATTCATTGTCATTTCAAATTAATGAAGATTGCCCTTGATGTAGTGTTTGCTGTGAGTTTACAGATCAATTTCTGTCCTGACTTGTAAATGCTTTCATGGTAGGATAGTGTGAGAGGACTTTGTGCAAAAAAGAAAGCTTTGTTAAGCAAACGTGTATGGCCTTGATCCTGCAGTTCTCTGCACAATGAACCAATTTGTTGTGGTCTAGCATAAATGTTTGTGTAAGTTATGTATGAGGACAAGTTAAGTGCTAGGTGCAGCAGTCCAAACTGAGGGGAAGTAGTCTCAAAATTTTTCAGCCAAATCTTTTTTTTCATTGAAAAATGCACATTTGGTGACATTGAAGCATTTTGTGAATTCAAGTTGGTTTCACCAAATTGTTGGTTTAAGAAAAAAAACAAACACCATTTGAAAAAATGGATTTTTTCAGTTTGAAATTATTTTTGTTTCAAAATTTTCTTTAATATTTTTAAAAATTCAAAAATAAATGGTCCAAGCCTAAATGACATGTTTTGTTCCATCTGGAATGAATTTTTTTCAACTTTTTGAAATTGCTGATTCACTGAAAATTCGCTATTTGCCCAATTCTAGCCTCAAGTGTGCCTTCCTCCTTTCTCCCAAGAGCACAGGTTAAAATGGAGAAGGGGGTAGTGGAGAATAGGCACATTTGAGGAGACATGAACATAAGCATGATCTTAGCATGTAAATGAGCCACTTAGCTGCAATCTTCCCTCTTTGGCCTTAGCCCATACGACTATATAGAGGTCAGTTGATGGCCATGTGGCATTCTTATTAACACTGGTCCCTTCTATTCCTTATCTGCTTGTTGCTTTTACTTTGACATTCCACTATTTCTCTACATATGTTTAAAAAGTGGAAAGAAGGTGAAGTGCCAGGCTCATACTCAGCAGCTTACCATACCTCTCAGTTGTACCTTACTTTGAGACATCCACTTGAGTCCCAGACTTAACTACTTACCACAAAAATATGGTGCTGTCCCACTTTGAAATGTTGTTGCTCATATCAGGGATAAAGAATCATGCAAATGGTTATGGAATAGGTGTACTCAGGGAATGAATCCCTGCATGAATTTGTTGAGTGTGGTGTTCCTCATTTTCGATCTTTCTCACACATTATGTCCCAATTTGGGCCTTGATGTTTTGAGAGATTTGCCACTACAGATAACGATTGTGTACTAGATGTTGCCTTTTCAACTGTGAATTCTCTGCCTAGTCCGTTTTCTTCTTTAGATGTTACTCTGTGCTCCTGAGTAAGTCATAAGCAGCTGGGATCAAACGTGGGATGTCTAGATCTTAAAGCATTAGCCTCTACGCTGCCTAAGCTGAAAGTTCCAGATCTGTTAGCTAAGGCTGTATGAGGCTCCTCAATCTCTATATGTGGCCTAGCCACCTCTAGAGGGGGACAGCATGCCACACTGAGTGAGGGTAGGTTACACATAGCACCACTGTAAAAGAGAGTGGTGGTATTAAGATTCAATAGAACATTCTATTGATGTACAATCTTCCAATTGCCAAAACAATTGACTGTATTATCTTAATATTTGTGCATTATTAAATGTAGCCTTTAGGAAGCCTTACAGTGACTGATGGCACAGCACCTGAGAAGGAAAAGAAATCTCCAGCACCTCAAACTAAAGCAGCCAGAGGGAAAGGAAAAGGGAAAAAAAAGGGAGGGAAAATGAAAGAAGAGCCGGAAGAAGAAACAGATCCACGGAAGCTTGAACTACTAAACTGGGTAAGGTGAAAGTGGCAGCTTTCTTCCAGTTGCTGCTCTGTTCTTTATCTCGTTTGACTCCTCCCTCTAATCTGTTCTTCTCAGTTTACATATGCACACACCCAGCTTACCCCAAAGATAAATCAAAGAATGAGTTACCTTCTACAAGGCCCTAGAAGTGATGCAAACAGACACATTAATCCCACCTGGAATGAAAGGAATTAACTTCTGGTGAGGGACATATTGATTCCTGGAATATTCTGAGGCATGGGAGACCTTTTATGTAGGGCTGTCAAGTGATTAAAAAAATTAATTGTAATTAATCGCGCTGTTAAACAAGAATAGAATACCATTTATTTAAATATTTTTGGATGTTTTCCACATTTTCAAATATATTGATTTCAATTACAACATAGAATACAGAGTGTTCAGTGCTCACTTTATATTTATTTTTATTACAAATATTTGCACTGTAAAAAACAAAAGAAATAGTATTTTTCAGTTCACCTAATACAAGTACTGTAGTGCAATTTCTTTATCATGAAAGATGAACTTACAAATGTAGAATTATGTACAAAAAAATGCATTCAAAAATAAAACTATGTAAAACTTTAGAGCCTACAAGTCCACTCAGTCCTACTTCAGCCAATCGCTCAGACAAACAAGTTTAGTTACTATTTGCAGGAGATAATGCTGCCCACATCTTGTTTACAATGTCACCTGAAAGTGAGAACAGGCATTCACATGGCACTGTTGTAGCCGGCGTCACAAGATATTTACCTGCCAGATGCGCTAAATCTTCATATGTCCCTTCATGCTTCAACAACCATTCCAGAGGACATGCGTCCATGCTGATGACGGGTTCTGCTCAATAGCGATCCAAAGCAGAGTGGACTGACGCATGTTAATTTTCATCATCTGAGTCAGATGCCACCAGCAGAAGGTTGATTTTCTTTTTCTGTAGGTTTTTTTTTTTCTGTAGTTTCCACATCTGAGTGTTGCTTTTTTAAGACTTCTGAAAGCATGCTCCACACCTCGTCCCTCTCAGATTTTGGAATGGCACTTCAGATTCTTAAACCTTGGGTTGAGTGTTGTAACTATTTTTAGAAATCTCACATTGGTACCTTCTTTGTATTTTGTCAAGTCTGCTATGAAAGTGTTCTTCAAACGAATATGTACTGGGTCATCATCCGAGACTGCTATAACATGAAATATATGGCAGAATGTGGGTAAAGCAGAAAAGGAGACATACAGTTCTCCCCCAAGGAGGTCAGTCACAAATTTAATTAACGCGTTATTTTTTTAACAAGCATCATCAGCATGGAAGCATGTCTTCTGGAATGGTGGCTGAAGCATGAAGGAGCATACGAATGTTTAGCATATCTGGCACGTAAATACCTCGCGACGCTGGCTATAAAAGTGCCATGCAAACACCTGTTCTCACTTTCAGGTGACATTGTAAATAAGAAGCAGGCAGCAGTATTTCCCATAAATGTTAACAAACTTTTGTGTCTTAGCGATTGGCTGAACAAGAAGTAAGACTGAATGGACTTGTAGGCTCTAAAATTTTACATTGTTTTGTTTTTGAGTGCAGTTATGTAACACAAATGTAGATTCTTTTTTAAGTGACACTTTCACGATAAAGAGATTGCACTACAGTACTTGTATGAGGTGAATTGAAAAATACTATTTCTTTTGTTTATCATTTTTACGGTGCAAATGTTTGTCATCAAAAATAATATAAAGTGAGCACTGTACACTTCATATTCTGTGTTGTAATTGAAATCAATATATTTGGAAAACATAGAAAAACATCCAAAAATATTTAATAAACTTCAATTGGTATTCTATTGTTTAACAGTGCAATTAATCGCGATTAATTTTTTAATCACAATTAATTTTTTGGAGTTAATCGCATGAGTTAACTGCGATTAATCGACAGCCCTACTTTTATGTATTTTATAAGTGTCTTCATAATGCTAGGTAGATTACATATTTCTATGCAATCTACCTATATCTAAGGTCACACAAGCATTTCCATTTTAGGTGGTAATTTTCTGTTGCTATTAATAGTTCTACATTTTCCAATCTTTTTCCTTCCTGGCTGAAATTTGGCAGGTTTGTTTTCAGTTCAGGAGTGAATTGTTTTGGAAGGTTTGAACCAAAGTGATTAAACCATATTTGGGAACAGAAAGACTGCAAAAATATATAGTTTTTCCTTTACAAAAAAGTATTCCTTTGAATGTTTCTAGCTCATTAGTGATTAGTGAGGAAGACTTAACATTTTACAGGAAGACAGTTCTTTTGTTTTGAATTTCCTATGAGTTTATTTTAATTTTTTTAAAGTTGAACATTCTATTAGGTTGTTCCCATGTTTGGCCATATTAAGGGAAACTCTTGTATGTTTTCTGACCAATATTTCTAGCAAGAACTTGGGGATTTCTTTTCAGAAGATCGGAGCCAGTGCATATTGCCACTTCTCTCTATTTGAGGCAACAGCTTGTCAGTTGAATGGATGCTGCCTATGTGGGTTGTTATGGTACAAAACACTCTTTACGTTTGTGCAGTTCATTCTTTTTAAATTTAACCTGCTCCCATCACACACAGCAAGCAAACCCACCTCTTCGTATAATGTGTCATTTCACTTGGTTTAGCTATAAGATACCAAATAAAAAGTACTGAACATTACAATCATGTTCCTAAAGGTTTCATTTACTGCTCTCATTACTTCAACATTAAGGACACATCCAAAACAAAAAACAAAAACAAAAACCACAACATCTAAACTATACATGGAACACCGATCGGGGACGTTCTCATTTTTCAAAATGACATTTGACGTGTAGATGACTGAACATAGCTTGAAATTCACACGTGAATTCTTTTATTAAACAACCAAAAAACTTCTGTTTAGCAGTTGCTGGAACAGCATCTCTGACTTACTTGCCCAGGGTTTGCATTGTGTTCTCTGTTATCAACTTTCAGGTGAATTCCCTGGAGCAGGCTATGCTGGATGCCCTGGTACTGGATCGAGTTGATTTTGTGAAACTCTTGATTGAAAATGGAGTGAACATGCAACGCTTCCTCACTATTCCTCGACTAGAAGAGCTTTATAATACTGTGAGTGAGCTGTGATTCTGATATAAACTGCTGCATCTCTCACTGTTGAGTTCAGCGTGACACCTTTTCCTTTCTCCCTTCCTCCCCCATCCCAATAATTGGCACAGAAACTGTCCAACTGGTGGTTTCACTTTATACTTCAACTATTGAAGGGAAAAAAACTGGGCACACTGACAGTCCACGAAAGGTGCATATCACTAGAGGGAGTCACTGTAATAACTCATGGCTTCATAATACTTTAAGATACACAGAATATCTTGACTAAGCCTAGAGCAGCTTTTAGACAATCTTATGGTTTATCATGTAAATATAGTGAAGTATTTTTAAAATGCATATTAAGAACTCTTTAATAACTAGTATTGCCATTAAAACCATATCAGCCAATAGCTGTGGCTTTTTACCTACATATTCTTAACTCACTCACTGATGTGACACACAATCTTGTTGATCCTCAGTTAGTTTTCATTTCTTTATCCTTTATTGTTGTAATAATAAAATGCTATATAGAAACTCTCATCCATAAATCCCAAAGCACTTTACACGTGGAGCTGAGTATCATTATTCCCACTTATAGAATGGGAAACCAAGGCACAGAGGCAAAAAGACCTGCCCAAGGTCACCCAGCAGGCCAGTGGCAGAACCGGGAATAAAACCCAGTTCTCCTGAATCTCAATCCAGTGCACTATCCACTAGGTCATGATGCCTCTTTTATAACACATAGGCTGCTTGGGACTAGAGTCTCCTTTGCACAAACCCACAGACAGAACACCCCAGTAGATCCTTACTCCTGTGCAGAATTCATGTGCTGCGCAGAATTTTTTTCCACAAAAAATACATTCTGCTGGAAAGGTGCTGCAGTTACTCCTTTTGTCCACAAGGGCCGCTGTGGCACCAGAACACAAAGCAGTGGCTCCTGGGCAGGAGCAGCCCCAGTTCCGGATAGGAAAGAGAAAGAAGTTGCCTTGCTCACAGCACCCTGCCCAGGGGCCAGATCAGGAGGCATGGGATATGGAGGAACAGACAGCATGGGGCACCTGGGGCTGCTGGGGGGTCACAGACTGGGGTTCAGAAGGGCTAGTGGGGGTGACAGACTGGGGCAGGGGCTGAATGGGAGTGGGGGTGCAGAGACACATGGGGACAGGAGGTGGCTAAGTGGGGGTACAGGGACACATGGGGATGGGGAAAGTGGCTGAGGGGGGTGCGAGGACACATGGGGACAGGGGCAGATGTGCCTGACGAAATGAGAGAGACTATGAGTCATCGAGGGTCTGCATGGTGGTGGCTCCCTAACAAACTCTTCCCTCTCCCAAAAACCTTTTACATTGTTCTCCCACCCATACCCAACAACCCTCCAGGTTCACACCCAGGCTCCTTCCCAGCAGTTTTTCCCTCTCCCTCAGCTCCTCCACTATCCCTGGCTTCCCCAAGCCTTTTCACTGCTTCTTAGGGGTGCAGGAAATACATTTCCATATTGTAGTTTAAATGAATTATTACTCAGAGTTCTGTATTCATATACCTAGTAAGGAATCTACTTGTCAAAAAACATTTCTTGAATATTTTTTGTTGTCTGTATTGTTATAGACATAGTTGCCAACAGGTCTTTGAAATAAATTACAAAATAATTGAAACTAGCATGATTATACTGTGTTATTTTCACAAATAAAATATGCAGAATTTTGCAGAATTTTAAAATATTGGGCGCAGAATATTTAATTTTTGGCGCAGAATTCCCCCAGGAGTAGATCCTGCAGAGGCACAGAGCTGCCATAAACTATTCCTCCATCACCTCTCCCTGCTGTTAGTATGGGAGGTGTGGCCAAAGGTAAAGGGTCACTGCCAAGGCACCTTGCGATTCCCAGGCGGGGATTACAGCACCTTGTAGCTGTTGGCAGCCAGTGCGAGTTAAGGCAACCTGAAGGCTCCTGTGATGTATATCTGAGGACTGGACCATTGCACAGGGTTCCTAGGTTGATAGCAGCACAAAGGTGGCTGTAAACTCTATTAGTGACTTGTTACTTTTGGCCAGTTGTGCCTCCCATCTTTTTATCCGTGAAGAAAACAGTACATAATCATGTGCTGTTCGGATAATGAACAAATGATCGTTCTGGGAATTCACATCCAAATTTCTAATGCTTTGCAGAAACTACACTTTTTTTTTAATCAAGGGGCAGAATTAAAGGCCTAACAAAATATGAATGGTCTCTCTTTCAGAGATTGGGTCCACCAAATACACTGCATTTGCTAGTCAGGGATGTGAAAAAGGTAAGTTTTTATATTATTTCCAGATATTGGGATTTATTTTCATAATTATTTTAATTGTACAAATCAGTGGGGGAAGTGAACATAATGTAGATGGAAAATAAAACTTTGAAATGAAATTATAGTTTTTAAGGAAAGGGAAGTTAAATCACTAGTAGTGTAAGATACTCAGACCAGATTTAAATATACTTAATTTCTTTACATATCATAAGAAGCTTACATACAACATTACAGTGGAAAAATATTTCCTTGCAAAATTGCAGAAACAGAAGTTAGAGAAAATATTTACTCCATTATCCAGTCCATCCACCTGCCAATGCAGGATTGTTCCTTTCTGTGTATTTACTAGTGTGTTTTTCGGACTCCCAAGCAATGTTACTTCTACCACTTCCACTGGGAGAAAGTCACTTCCACTCTTCAGAGTTAGAAGTCATAAATCTGTTATTCATTACCATCTACTCCATATAAATGTATTGTAAGGCTTAGTGTTAAATTCACTATATTTGATGGGTTTTGCATGTGTTATTTTGCTACCCAGAGTATATCCTGCATTCCTGTTGCAAGGAAAAACTCAACTGATTTCAGTGAGAGTTCCTCATGAAAGTTTTGCAGGATTGGGTCAATGTATAATCCATAATGATCCACCTCAGGGTTTAATTCTTATCTAATTTTTCATTATTCACATTTTCCAATGGTACTAACTCTCTTCTGTGTATTTTTCCTATCTGTCTGTCCATCTTTCTCCTCCTGGTCATCGCATTTCCATGGCTCACTCTCATTCAGCGACAAGTTCGGGGATTTGGTTGGGTTAACATGGAGGTGATTTGTTTCCCTAGAATGTAGCTCTTTCATCATAGTTTATTGCTAAGTGGTGTTCTAGACTAAACCTTGCTGTGATGTGCAACAAAGGATACAGTTAGAACCGTGAAACACAGTGCTCAGTCACAGCTCTGGGAGATTTAATGTAACTGTCCAACCAATCTTTAACAATATGACAATATAGGTTATACAACCTGCCTGTTTACCAAGTTTAGACTGCAGATTAACCCAAATTTCCCTGTACATGATGGGCTGGGAATTGTAGATAATAATGAGGTGGGGAAAAAAGTTATCCATACAGTAAAAGCTACAGTGTATTCTGACCCCTTTCACAAGCAGGAGGAAACTCTTGTATCAGCATACTACACGTAATTGCTCTCTTTTTAAAAAGCAAGGAATATAAGCAAATCTGACTTATCCTGAAATAAATAGAATAATTACAACAAATCGTAATTTAGTAGTTCGATTTCTCATCATAGACTTGATCCAAAGTCTACTGAAGTCAATAGGAGTCTTTCCATTGACTTTGGGGACATCTAAAGTCCATTGAACGATTATATTTATCTTAAGGACACATTATACTGTCCAATTCAGATAATTTTCTCTTTGATTTCTCTGAGGAATCGCACAATTTGCAATCCCCTTTTAATTTGTAATTGTCACTTTTTATTTTAAAACACAGAGACTCACATTTTGAGGTTGAGTAAATTAAATATAGGAGTTATCTGTTTATATTCAGGTTCTTATACCATGCTCATCACCAAGGAATCTGAGCACCTAGTATACTATAGAGTTTGCAAGTACTATAATGTTCTCCATAACTGAATATACTTAGTAGCATAGTATATTTATAGTTTATCAAATTTATTAAAATTGTTTCTAATCTTGTACTGTATAAAATTATTAGTGATAATATGTATACATTTGGAGTATGAGCAGTATAATGATATATCACTAAATTATTGCACAGATCATAAGTATTCAAGCAGTGTATTAGTGGAAATGTTATAGTAATAAAATGCTTGTTTTGATTTTTATTAAGGGGTACAGGAAAAAAACCCACCCACTCCATTATACAAAAAGCCAGCTTTAAACCATCTCAAAAGCAAAATTAATTCTTGCATGAATAAAACCTTAAAATAGACAAAGCTGTTCAGATTAGTATGCAGATCGAAAACCCATTCAAACATGGAATGTGATGTTATTAATTCAGTTCAAAGAACTCGAAGCCACTGGGGGCCATCCTGCAAGCCCTGTCTCCCACGAGCAGTCCCATTGACTTCAGAGGAACTACTCGTGCATGTGAAGAGTACTTTCATCAGTCAGGTTCTGCAGAACCAAGCCTCATGGCTATTATAAACACTTGATTTTTATTTTTGAATTAAAAACGGTTTCAAATTAATTTATCAGCACCGCGTACCTCTAGTAAGATTGGTCATCACTTTAATCTTTCAGCCATGAGATAGCCACACTAAAATTAAGCAAGTTATCTATAAAATGAAAACCTATGAAATTACATCAAATGTCCATGGAGCACATAACCAACAGAATGTGTATAAATCTTCAGCTGCAATTATTTATTAAAAATAATGTGATTTTATCCATTTTAGCAGAAATATATTAAAAACTATAAAGCTCTTGTCTTCTTCCCTTCCCTGATACATTTATAGTTCCATTACATATTATTTAACTGCTGCAAATAACTCTGTACTGAGATATATGTTACCAACAACCACTGCTGAAATTCTACCCTTGAATACACAGACAGCTCCCCAAAGGAGAATTTGGCCCCAAGTAAAAAATTTTCCCTGGATGGATATATTAATAATGAATAAAATAGTAATGTCTACCAAGTATGAGTATAAATGTGTCATATTGTATATAGCCAGGGCAAGTCTCTGTATATGCTTTATTGTTGTTTTATATCCTAAAAATACACTTTGTATTTTGTAGGGAAATCTTCCACCCGATTATCATATCAGCCTGATAGATATTGGTCTTGTACTTGAATACCTCATGGGTGGAGCTTATCGCTGCAACTATACTCGAAAAAGTTTTCGGACCCTTTACAATAATTTATTTGGACCAAAGAGGGTAAGAATGAATTAATGTTGTATTTCCCCATAGTGCTAATAATCAAAATAACTAATTCTCCACTTGTTGAATCTTGTGTGAACTACTGTGTGTCCACTTGATCTTCATTTAACAGCCTGTGTAGTTAATATGAGGATAATGCAAAATATCTGAGCTGAAGAATAAAGACTCAGGGTCCCAATATGTGCTAAATATGTTGTGCAAGTGTGTGCTTTCCACACTTCTTGGTAATTAAAAATCCAAGTATTTCTAACTGTGGTGTTATGTATGTTTAACCATTCCTAGCTTTAATTTGTGAGCATGACCTTCTAAAGTTATTGTAACTGCATAAAATAGTTAGATAAAAAAACACAGGGATAAACTACCGCTCAGTGAGCAAGTAATTGTAATAATCCATGGGCCCAAACCAGGTAAGACAAAGGAGCTGCCTCAGAAGAGGAACAACTTTGCAAATATCCTGTAAAAGATTGCTTCCAAGAGTAAGGGCTTATTACCCAAAATAAACTGTTCTCTTGCCAGAATATAGTATTGATCATGAAGCTAATGGAATATAAAGAGGAGTCATTTTAAGAAAATGTAATAGAATAAAGATTCTAATTTCTAAGGGGCAAAAAATAGGAAAACAGGTTTCACCAAGGGCTTGTTTCTCATAGATGCCTCTGATTAAATGGGTTTGGTTTCATTTGTTTTTAATTCAAAAATGGTCTTTTTTTGGTATCAGAGTCAAAGGATGATGGGGGGGAGGCAGAATAAGAAACTTTTTTTTCCCTTCCCTACAGCTATTAGTCAAATAATGTTCCTATCTATGCAAATGAAAAAATTACTTTCTTTGGCACTCTTACATCTTTGCATTTTCCCCTCCATCTAACTAGATTTTTTTTCTTTTTCTTTTTTCTTTTAAATATGCAGCCAAAAGCTCTTAAACTTTTAGGAATGGAGGTAAGTTGGGTGTTTTTGTTTTTTTTTTTCATATAACTAGGAAAAACACCTTTCTGCATCATTCTGAGCTTTCTCAGTTTTACACTGATTTAATATAAATTGTATCTGACTGGGATCTTCTATTTTACAGATTACTTTTGAAACACCAGCAACCTGCTTTATATTTAAGGTCTTGAGTTCTGCATAGAGCTTTGCTCATATAATCCTCAAGCAGTTTTTTAGCAGTATTATGTAATAACACACTCCAGTGTTGGAAAATACTGTAGATAAAACAATTTTAGATATGAACATAGAGAACATAGTGATGAGAGAGAATACAGCAGCTGAGTAATTTATGGTCAAATCCTCTTTATATTTAAAGTGCAGTTTATGCATGGAAGATTTAGGCTATGTCTACACCTATAGCAGCATGTAAAGTACAGGCACTACATGTGTAGCTACACGCCGCAGTGAAAGGCAGACTGCGTCCACACTTGTCACTGTGGTGTGTAGCTTCGCACTGCAGTGAAAGACTCCAGCAGTGGGAAGGAAAGGCTCTCACAAGGGAGAGGCAGTGAGATGCTATGGTGCTAAAGATAGCAGCATAGATGTGGGAGGCACTGTTTGGGCATGTAGAGAGCCATGCAGGGCATGTACCCTGGGGGTTAAGGCATGTAGGGCACTTTGCTCTTCTCACCTAAGCCATGTCTCACATCTACACTGCTGTTTATAACTGCGCTAGCTGGACCCACTGCATCTGTACTTATATCCTTACATGTGGATTTAGCGTAGACATAGCCTTAGATAGGTCAGAGAGGGAAATTGCTTTTTCAGTCAAGTTAACTATGTGTTCTGTTAGTTATTTTCTTCCATTGTAAAACGTAGCTGATTATTTCAGAGCATATCAGCACTGCTCTGTAGTAAACAGCCCAGAGATGAGATGGACCTGAACCAGAACCCCAGGTCTGAGCCCTGCCCCAACCACCCCAGAACTTCAGGGAAGTTTAGATTTGGATCCAAATGTTGTACCTGGGGCCTGTCTCTCCCCTGGGCCCAAACCAGAACCCTGGTTCAGATTCCAACAAACTTTGGGAAAGCTCAGTATCTGATCTGAAGGCAGAACTAAACATTTGTAATTGATGCCTTAGAACATACCAGTTAGATACTTGGTACATGAAAAGATTAGGGACTTCTGTATATGAAGCATATAAGTAAGCTTGTATTAGCACTGCGTGAATAGTAGGGTTGCCAACCCTCCAGGATTTCCCTGGAGTCTCCAGGAATTAAAGATTGTCATGTGATGAAATCTCCAGGAATACATCCAACCAAAATTGGCAACCCTAGTGAATAGAGTTTTATGTCGAAGCTAAAGTCAATTGTGAAATACAAAGGCCTATGTTTTCCAAAGCAGATAAGCAGCTTTTCCCTGTATGAAGGAAGTGTAAAGGAAACTTAATTTTCCTCTCAGATCTACTTCATATTTTCTAACAGCTTTAGGGCAAAGTGCTCAGGTTACAGATGGGAGGAAACAAGAGCTGAAGAGATGAGGTCTCATTTATATACAGAGGAGTTGAGCTCTGAGATATGTGGCCTTATTCACATGCAGGTTACTCGGTATTTTCCAAGAACACTTTTGGATGTTTTTATGCTTTCCTTCAGTGGCAAATGCTTTACACAGAAGAAATTGAAATATTTTAAAGTTTAACTCAGTTTTCTCCATCTTGCAGTGGGTGCAGTTCTGTCTATCTAAAAGAAATGGTGAAAAATAAAACTAACTTTTAAAAAGAATTCTAAAGAAGTAAGAAAGCTTTTGTGCTCATGTGGAAAGAAGAGGGAATATTAACTTTCTTCATTTCCAGTTTTTTTATTTTCTTTACTGTTAACTATAAATTATTTGGCATTTTGCAATCATCGCTTGTTCTTTTCTGCAAAAAAATGCAATTCTCGTCTTCTGATTTGAAATTACACTTGCATGTGTATGCACAGCCTTTTTCTTGAAAGACAGATAACGTTTTTTCTAAATGCATGTGAATAATGACCACTGCAATTTCTATAAGGACCACTTCTCCCTTCCTGAAATTGTTGGAAAGTAGGAAGAAGTGAGATGTATTTAAGGAATAAGTAAAGACTTCTGCTTGGAATCTCAGGTTCTAAAACTTAATTCTGAACTCTCATATATAGCTCATGCTGCTGCATACTTCCTTAAAAGAATCTAGTGCACTTTGCATGAACAAGAATTGATGTTATAAAGTGTTTATTACCACTACTCGCACTCCATCTCTGATAGTGGAATCAAGCCCTACAAATTATCAATAGCTCTATCTATATATGCAGTATTCTTCCTACATTGTTTAAACCCTAATTTTCCCAATCGTGGCTTTTCTCCCTTTAGGATCCTGCTCCATTGTCTGTATCTCCCTTCAGTTACTTCCATGTTGGTTCCTGTAGTAATGGCCTATCCTCCTTATCCTTTTAGGAAATGGGATAGTTATACCTTCAGTTTGTACTGCATACATACGAGGAGATTCCTTATTCAAAGGTGAACATTCCCTTTAGTATCTTAACTCTGTTCCTAAGGATTCTGTCTACCTGCCTTTTCCCTTTGCCTGTTTTCCCTTCTCTTCATCTGCATGTTGGTTTTAAAATTGCTTTGATGCCTGATACGAAGCATTATTCTGCAAGAATAGAGATAGACCATATCAAATCAGAGACTACAGTGTAACCTACTTATAATGAAGCTCCACTAACAATTCAATAGAAGAAAAGTCCTAAGTTGTTTCAGTTTACTGCAAAGCAACCAGTGCAATTACACATGCAGTACAACTCCGCTTATACTATAGCTGGTCTGTGTAAAGTGATGACTTTAATATAATAGGGTTCTACTGTATTTATAGAACACTAGTGACTCATAATGAAGCATGAAAGTAATGGTTCTGTGGCCAAAATGTTAACCCAGGAGTGCTAACCCAATGCATGATCTGTTGATAAGGTATTATTTCATTATTTTGTTGTTGGCATCCTTTATAGAAACAACTCAGAAATTACACTACAAAACATGATGTAATTCAATGAATGTAGGCTGCTTGTTAATGGGAAGTTCACATTTTCTTTTGGAAATGCCAGTAGTCATCTCCACATGTTCTTTGTGCATGGAGTAGGTCTCACCATGGCTTTCAGAATTCAGTGGCAAGCATTTTGTTTTGCTTTCCTTTAGGATGATGAGCCTCCAACCAAAGGGAAAAAGAAGAAGAAAAAGAAAAAGGAGGAAGAGATAGATATCGATGTGGATGACCCAGAAGTCAGCCGCTTTCAGTACCCATTTCATGAACTCATGGTATGGGCAGTGCTGATGAAACGGCAGAAGATGGCACTCTTTCTTTGGCAGCGAGGGGAGGAGACCATGGCCAAAGCACTTGTGGCATGTAAACTGTACAAATCCATGGCCCATGAGTCTTCAGAGAGTGAACTGGTGGATGACATCTCTCAGGATTTGGACAACAACTCAAAGTTAGTTAATTGGAGCATAGTGCATGGCTAATTTGTATATATGGGGCCATATGGACTGCTCAAGGTTATTTTTGAGCAATTGCAATTAATTTTTAAGATGGTGGGTCACAGGGATGATTGTTTGGCCCATTTTTCTGACCAACTTTTTTCATCTGTGAAGTTTGAGGATATATGTACAAGACTGGGAGGCAGGAACTTTTGAGTCATCACATCTTGGAGTCCCTCTGTGGCCTTAGGAAAATTGCTTAACCTCTCTGCCTCAGTTTCCTCCTTCATAAAATAAAATTAGCTTACCTCACTAGGTCAGGATTAACTGATGTACATGAATTCTCTGAAGAGGTAAATTTCAGTCTACTAAGTAAGTTTTATCACAAACAGTCTCACAAGAGCTGTGAAAGAAGTTGACATGTTTGAAGAAAGGTGATTAAAAATAAAAATAAGTTTAAAGGGAATGAAAATTACATGTTACTCTATGCACTCTACTTCAGTTTGTTAGTCTCTGTGCCTTATTACTTTTTTAGTTTTAAACAAATTTCTTCAAAACTTTCAAATGTAATTGGCTTTATTATAATTGTCCTTAGAATGTTAGAAGTTTACAAAATGACAATTACAACTTCTATAGTGCCTGTAATCAAAGGATGAAAAATATTTTACAAGCAATAATGACATTTCTAGTCAATAGCTTCTTAAGCACCAAAGTTAATTATCATTTATATTTATTTGTGTGTGGAGCTTTTGCATGCTAGCACAAATCATGTTTGAGACCCAGTTGTGCTTGATGCTGTACAAAGACATGGGAAAACACTGTCCCAGCCCGAAAGAGTTGACAATCAAATTTAAGGGAACACTACAATTTTTAACCAAGTTCATTAGATTCTTTTTGCATGTCTCCTTTTCTTCAGAGATTTTGGCCAGCTGGCTGTTGAGTTGTTAGATCAATCCTATAAACATGATGAACAGGTTGCCATGAAATTACTGACCTATGAACTGAAAAATTGGAGTAACTCCACCTGCCTAAAACTTGCTGTGGCAGCTAAACACAGGGACTTCATAGCTCACACCTGCAGCCAGATGTTATTAACAGACATGTGGATGGGGCGGCTACGCATGCGGAAAAACCCAGGCCTTAAGGTATTTCTTCTACACAATTGCAGTGATGTCCTTGGCACTGATGTTGAACATGCAGCTAAGGCATATAGTATTGTATCATATTTAGTATATTTATTCATATGACCATTCAGCCCCCTAATTATAGGAGTGCTTTAAAAGTATTTCTTTTGTGAAGCTAATTTTCTGGCTCCTAACCTCAGAATATTTAAGTGACAACATCCCCATGGCAGAGTGGGTGTAGAAGGCAATAAAAGGCTTAGTATGCTTTAAATCTGGAAGCAAAGCCATATAAATGACAAAAGTGTTCATTTAAGTTTATACCCCAGCCATGAAAATTAGTTATATTACATGAGAAGCTAAAAGACATTCATCATGTTCAGATACTACTGTGGTGAAGGGAACATAATAAAGGATGAGAGAGAGAACAAACCACATGTGACAGATGCTAGTCACATCTCTTAATGCAGTACTGGAAGGAGCTCAGATAGTACAGTGAAAAGGGTGGTATAAGAACCTATGTAGAATAGTATAGAGTAGAATGATGGGGAAAAAACACATTTTTTTAGAAAGAATCTTTTCTTGTTTTGAGGGCTTGAACACTTGTTCTGCTGATTTCTCTGTCTTTCCATTGATGAGACTCAGGTGATTGTTCAAGGGTGGGTTCAAAGAATGAATAACTGCTAAACATGAATAATGTTAAGTGTGGCAAAGGGGAGACACATGATACACACAGTGTGAGGAGTGTTTTGGTGTTGCTTGTGAGGATAATATATGATTTTCTGGGCTATTATCAGGTGAAATCCTTCTCTCATCCTATATTGTTAAAACTGCCTTCCACATGTAGGCCTGTCATCTCCAACCCATCTCTCATTTTCTCACTTCCAAGTCATCACCAAATCCAGCTGATTTTTCACACCATAACATCTACAAAATCCATCTATATTTTTCTTCTTCTCCTACCAACATCCTGATCCATTCTCTGTTTTTCTCTCTCCTTGACCTGTCTCATCTTTAACTCTCTCACTTTCCACTTTCCCACTTCTCTCCAACTTAAATTACTCAAAATCTTGAGTCATATCTCATGATCCTTACCCTTCTTTCAGATCACATCTCTCCCTTGTTAAATCTATTCACTGACTCCCTTCCTCTTCCATGCAAAATTCAGCCTTCCCTAACCTTCCAGTTCTATCCTCCTCACCTGTATGTCCCCCAAACCTTCTATTCTCATTCCCTCCCCTCACTATTCCTTTTATCTCCTTCTCCAACTCTTCTTATGTGCCTTCTTGCATGCTATCTCTCATGCTTAGAAAGCTTTCCCAGTTGTTGTTTGCTAAGCTTCCCCCTTTTATTCTTTCAAAACGCTTCTGAGAACCCACCTTTTTCACATCAGAATGTAATTTATAAGCTTTGGTAAGAACCCTGCTTCCCTCACCATCCTGCTGTGTGTTGTTCCACTGAATTGAGCTGTTGAACTCTGTCCTGCAACACTTTTACCTTCTGGTGTGTTTTATTGCAATGTATCTACCGAGATGAGTCTTCCAGAGCAAGCTCCATGTTATATCTTAATATATATTATAGTGAGGATGACCAGATGTCCCGATTTTATAGGGACAGTCCCGATTTTTGGGTCTTTTTCTTACATAGGCTCCTATTACCCCCCAGCCCTGTCCCGATTTTTCACATTTGCTGTCTGGTCACCCTAAATAGTGCCATGTGTAATACTGGTGCTTTGTAAATATTAATTAATTCAGTAGCTTCCTGTATGTTGAATGTTATTCAGAGAAATGATGGCAACAAAAGAAATAATATTGTTTTAAACAAAATCTAATGATGTAATCAATGATGCATTGAATTGATACCTCTTTTCTTGCCCAGGTTATAATGGGGATTCTCTTCCCACCCACCATCCTATTCCTAGAGTTTCGCACTTCTGATGATTTTTCCTATCAGACATCCAGAGAAAATGAAGATGGGAAAGAAAAAGAGGAGGAAAATGTGGTTGGTACTATACCTTATCAGAATGTTCTTAACTTCTCCAGCAGACTTAATATCAATTTGCCTACAATTATGCCATTGGCCACTTCAGATTGAAATCTGCAGATTTCCCATGCCACCTGCCTGTGTAGAAACAAAAATCCCTGTGTGTTATAGTACTGGGAATATATGGGCCACATTATCAGCCAGTGTAAATTGATGTAGCTGTATTGAGGTCAGTGGAGGTATGCCAATTTACAACAGCTAAGAAACTCGCCTTGTATTTTTCAAAGTGCAATGGAACTGGATAATTAGCGAATAGAGTCCTATTGTTCAGAAGGAAGCTTTCTGTAGCTGACAGATGATTGAGCGTCATGACTGAAAGAACCTCTCATAGGTGACATTTGATTGGTGACAAGCTGCCAGTTTCTGTCTTCCAGGATGCAAATGCTGATACGGGCTCCCGAAAAGGAGATGAAGAGAATGGAAACAAAAAGCAACGGAGCCTTCCTATTGGAAAAAAGATCTATGAATTCTATAATGCACCTATTGTAAAGTTCTGGTTTTACACGGTAAGTCATCTTGACTTTTAATTATTAACAATTTGTTACATTATAGTAATTTAAAACAAAATAATAGGAAAACATCTTGATATATAGTTTAAAGAACCGGTATAAACAAAATACACTTTGGCCTTGGCATCTGTTTCTCTTATGAATTTATACTGCTTCTAGCATCGTCGTAGGTGAGCACATAACAAAATTCACATCGCACATGGTCTAACTCCCATTAAAACTTAAGGAGACATAGTTAAAATCTTTTAAATTGTTTTTCCATCTTCTGTTCTGCTTTATTGTATCTAATTTTTTTAAATACCAAAAAGTTCAAAGGTCTCCACTCATTCTGGACTTCCAGCTTGTGACACCTGTGGCCATTATTTCCCCATTTGACTTTTATTAAGGTTGTTGTAGGCACTCAGTATATTTTGAAAATCAGCCCCTAGCATCAAGAAAAGGCCACGGGATGATTTGATTGCCATCTATAGGTACCTACATAGGGAACAAATATTTAATAATGGTCTCTTCAATCTAGCAAACAAAGGTATAACATGATCCAATGACTGGAAGTTGAAACTAGACAAATTTAGACTAGAAATAAGGTAATTTTTTAACAGTGAGTAATTAACCATTGGAACAATTTACCAAGGATTGTGGTGGACTCTCCATCACTGGCAATTTTTAAATCAAGATTGCATGCTTTTCTAAAAGATCTGTTCTAGGAATTATTTTGGGAAATTCTACGGCCTGTGCTATACAGGAGTTCAGTCTAGATCAGGGGTCGGCAACCTTTCAGAAGTGGTGTGCCGAATCTTCATTTATTCACTCTAATTTAAGGTTTCGCGTGCCGGTAATACACGTTAAAATGCCCCCATGTGCCCCCCCAGCTCCCCCCTCGCCTAGGGTTACCATATTTCAACAATCAAAAGAGAGGACGGGGGGGGGGAGAGCCCCGCCCCCCATCCACTCCCTCCCACTTCCCACCCTCTCACTGCCCCCCTCAGAACCTCCAACCCTGCTCCTTGTCCCCTGACTGCCCCCTCCTGGGACCCCTGCCCCTAGCTGCCCCCCAGAACCCCAACCCCTACCTAAGCCTCCCTGTTCCTTGTCCCCTGACTGCCCCCTCCTGAGACTCCCCCTACCCTAACTGCCCTCCTAGGACCATACCCCCTACCTGTCCCCTGACTGCCCCAACCCTTATCCATACCCCCACCCGAGCGCGGTGAGGGGGGAGCCGGGGGGCGTGCCTGCCGCCGGTCTGGGTTCCCGGCCGCCGCCCCCGCTCAGCCTCCTGCCAACCTGGGGTTCCATTCACTCAGCTGGCAGCGGGCTGAGCGGGGCCGGCAGCCGGGACCCTGGCTGGCAGCCGCGTGCCAGGCAAAATCGGCTCACGTGCCACCTTTGGCACACATGCCATAGGTTGCCGACCCCTGGTCTAGATGCTCACAATGGTCCCTTCTGGCCTTGGTATCTATGAAACTTGAAATCCAAAATTAGTGGACAATTATGAATATTTTCCTGAATATTAGGTATGTTTCTGCTGATTTACACTTATGTTCTGTACTTTATACATTTAACCTTGCTGCAAATGACTTTGTGTACAAATTTTGGAAGGATCTCAAGTAACTAAATGCTGTCTATGCAGCCATGGACAAAGCAGTTACTGTGTAACAGCCCTGCACACTAATGCCTAGAGTCCATGGGCATAAAGGATTCTTTTTTCCAGATATCATACCTGGGTTACTTAATGCTGTTCAATTATATAATCTTGGTGCGGATGGACCGCTGGCCCTCGCTCCAGGAATGGATTGTCATCTCCTATATTGTGACTCTGGCTTTAGAGAAAGTAAGAGAGGTAATGTGAATCACACCAATAACTGCTATTTTACATTATCATGGGGAAGAACTTGCCATTTATAAATAAATGGTCAATGGGGGCTGGAGAAGTAGTGTAGACAGGCAAGCCTTGCAGGAGGCAGGAGATTCCCTTCCCTGCACCTCCTCCAAATCCATACCAGTGCCGGGGGACTTCAACTACTACCCACTCCAGGGCTCTCAGAACCCTCCTGCCTGAGCAAAAGAGCAGTCAAAAATTCCATTAGGTCATTTTTGCAGTTTCCTGAATTCACTGCCCCTTTCTTATGTGTATTTCCCTGGGAGGGCATGAGGATATAATCCCTAAATAGCTTCCTGTTATGCACAATTAATGTATGTTGCATTGATCAGTTATGGTGTATGATGAAGAGGTTGGGAGGGAGGAACGTGTTTTATATGTAAATTCGCAGTAGTATTTAATTCATTATCATCTCAGCTCTTACAGATTGGTAGCACAGCACAAAAACCCCACTGCCAAATCAATTCACCCCACTGTAGTTCCCTCCCAGTCTGTTTCCCCACCGACCCACCATGTTCCTAAAATAAACACCTCATATAATTTTGATTTGGACATAAACATGGACAAAAAGTTAATGGGCCACAGCCGGTGAATTAAGTGACAATGATGAAATCCTACGGTTAAACGAAAGTTGGGTCAAAATAGAAAAATTAAATGGAGTCTGTAAGCAGTGATGTGCTCTGCTGCAGGGGCAAATCCTGCTCAACACGTAAGTAGTTCTCATGAAACCCATTACACCCAGTCAGTCTGCCCTGGGTCTCACCGCCATTATTTTAAAAATGTACTCCACAGTTTTTCTTCAGGATTTTTTCCCTTTGCTTTTAGATTCTGATGTCGGAGCCAGGCAAGCTGAGCCAGAAAATAAAAGTCTGGCTGCAGGAATACTGGAATATCACTGATATGGTGGCTATTTCAATATTTATAATTGGAGCAATTCTTCGCCTACAGAACCAGCCTTACATGGGTTATGGAAGAGTAATCTACTGTGTGGATATCATTTTCTGGTACATTCGAGTACTGGATATCTTTGGTGTGAACAAGTATTTGGGACCCTATGTCATGATGATTGGAAAAATGGTTAGTACCTCTGTAGCTAGAGGCTTGCTTTAACGATGCATCTTAAACTATGTAAGAAAGCAGATTTGGGAAAGTAAAATCATTTCTTCTTCTAGATACCAATCCCGCAACTGTTGCTCAACTGATTTGGTCTGTGAATAAGGGCTGCAGAATGGGGCTCTTAATCTTGACTCATGAATTACATTCGCCCACAGAGATTTTGGATATACTAATAATAACCTTAATTCAAGAGAGAATTTTTCTCAAACTGTTTCAATACCCTGTATCTTAACACCCTGTTTTTCTGTCCTATTGAAGTCTCTTCAGAATAGTCTACTTAATCTCAGTATGAGTCTCAGTGAACCATTTTAGGGTATTTCCCTTCAGAAAAGTGGGATTTAAAATTTATAAGCTTAGAGTCTGATTCTCAGAGGCCCTTTTAGGATCTTCAACTCCCATTGACTTCAGTTAGAATTGTGGTTGCCCAGAGCTTGTGGTTCTTAATATCAAAGCCAAACTGGCTTTCCTCCATCAAAGCATAGTATTAAACCCACTTCCAGTTAATGGAACTAATATATTTGGAGCTTTGTGCTGCCAATATTGTAACAATAGGCTCCCATAAAATTATCCTCCTTAGCATACAATAAACCCAGTATACCAAGGATGCACGTACTCATAAGGAGGAGGGGAGCGGCTCTGGGGAGTCCACTTGATTTTCCATTTAATTGAATATAACTGTAACTAAGAAAGGAGCCCTGTTACAGACTTCTGTTAAGGTGAACTGTGCTGGAACATATGCATTTTGGGTTTCAGGTTCCTAGATCACTTAGGTGACTATGAAAATTTTGCCCTCTGTTCCTAAAAAATATATTGAGTATATATTGATGATACGAGGGAGTATTCAACTTGAGAGAGATGAGGCCCTTCTTTTAGCACTTAGAGATGAAAATACCTTGGTGCATTCCAAAGTCAAAATGTTGCTCTTCAGAAGTGTTTGTATGTGAGCCTCTCGCGCAGAGGTGACTTAGTAGCAAACAGAGAAGGAAAGCACCACCAGCAGCAGAGAAGTCATCGTATTTCTTCCCTTCAAGTCAGTAGCAGAATTTTTACAAGAGCCACTGTCCAACATGTCGCTGCCTGTGTGTTCAGGGAAAGTATGGCTAGAAAGAGTTCAAATATATACTCTTGTCACTGGCCCAAGCACTTATATGAAGATGCTCACTCTGCTTTCTCTTTCCGAACATAAGTACGTTATTTATTTGCTGCTATTGTCATTGCTGTCGTTATACATTTTCATGGCACCATAAATGTACACCATACCATGCAAGGCATAGAAAAGTTCATAGGCCCAGAACCTCCACTGCAACTGAGGAGCACACAATCTTACTCAGGAGAGGTGCTGCAAAGGTGACTTTAAGCCACCTTTGTGCAACCCAGATCCTGGGACCCTGAAGTCTGCTATGATTTGAACTGACTGACTTCTGCCCAAGGGCCATTACAGCAGCAAGAGATTGCCAGGGCACAAGTATGCTTTCTAATCTAGCAGTTAACACTGTGGCCAATTATGCTGGTTTGAGAGGTCTCTTGGCTTGGCAGGGCAGGGTAAAGTGTCCCTAATGCAGGGGGAATCTGGTCTGTAAAGCCATATAGTCTGATAGTTCTTTTAGTCGAAAAACAAATGACCTGTTTAAATGGATCTTGGGTGCTGTTTTTTTACACTTTATATGTTTTCAGCTCATGAGCGGTATTTGTACCAGCATAATAATATCTGGGAAACAACTAGTTTGGGGGATTTTTTTTTTATTCTCGTGAATCTTTCTTGGTGGTTTTCCTGCACACGCTCTCCTACACACGTTCTTTCATGTATGTAACCTCTGATTATGACAAAAATATTTGTATGGTCCCTCTGTCCAGATGATTGACATGCTGTACTTTGTGGTCATCATGCTTGTGGTTCTGATGAGTTTTGGAGTAGCCCGCCAAGCTATCCTGCACCCAGATGAGGAGCCCTCTTGGAGACTAGCCCGCAACATCTTCTATATGCCGTACTGGATGATCTATGGAGAGGTGTTTGCAGACCAGATAGACCGTAAGAGTAGAATTCATAGTAAGATTCTGTTTCCTGTTTCTGAGGCAGATGATCAGATCCAAATTAATGAAAATGACTGTTTTTAATTTGGAATTAGTATGTTTGTCTTTGGTTGCTTTTGTGGCAGATTCCAGACTTCCAAACATCACTTTCTCCTCCTCACCAGAGTACCAATGGGAATCCTCTACCTGTCAGCATATGTTCTATTTCAATTACTGTTGAGAGTGGTGCAGTCTGAAACGCTCGCCAATCTTGGATGTTAAGAATATCACCTCTGAGATGCTCCCCTTCCTTAGATGGGTTAAGAAGAGATAATCCTTGAGTTGCTGTTGAACCTGGTTCATCACCAGACTCTGATTCAGGAAAGCACTTAAGCACAAGCTTAACTTCTAAATTCATGCTTAAACCCTATTGACTTCAATGGGACTTAAACACGTGCTATCCTGAAATGGGGCCTATAAGAATTAATTGTGGAGCCATAGGTCTGCACATGCTCTAGAACAAGGGTTCTCAACCTTTTCAGTACAGAGCCCCTTCCCTTAGCAATATGTGAAGGTCAGGGTGGTCACAACCCCCTGACTTCTGGTTATGACCCTGCAAGTTTAGAACATATGTTCCTAGAGTATTTTAGGTGATCAATAACTTTTGATACCATCCTCTTGCCAGACAGTCTGGGCATATCACAAATGTCCTGGCTCCTTTCATTTCTGGGGGCAGGGCAGTGTCTATGAAAACATGAGCCCTGCCAGCTGGAGGACGAGCTGTGATATCATCAGCTGGGAATGCAGATGCTTGTTGTTAATAAAGGAATGAAATGGAGGGGCAAGAAACAGGGCTAATAATAAAAATTGGTAATACTTTAAAATGTGAAAATCCTATTTGGACTGATTACAAAATGTAATATTACCAAAGTGGCCCTTTGCTCTGATTTTGTGGCTCAGCAACACACTGAAGTTAAGAATGCTGCAATCTAGAGCAGTAATTCCAGTTAGTTTTGATCATGATGAAGTGTATTAAGTAGGAATGGGGAGTAAAATCAAGGAGAAAAGAGAGAAAACTATTCCCAAATATATCATAGCTCCATCCTCAACCTTTATAGGGCCATAGCCTTGCTTTGGCCACCTTGAACTCACTGGGAGGCCCTGGCACCTCTATCTCAGGACAAAACATGGCCTTTAGTAAGATCAGCCACTCTTTGGAGGCATTAGCTAACCCTCAACATAACAGCAGAGTTAACTTAATTTGGAATAGAGTTTCTGCCTTAGCTCTAGATTCCTTTGATTATGTGTTCTAATCAGATCCTTACATTTTACAGTATTTTGTAATTGTTTACTTTCCGTTTTCCCCCCTTATACTAAGGTTTATATGGTCTAATCCAGAGGTGGGCAAACTACGGCCCGCGGGACCGTCCTGCCCGGCCCCCAAGCTCCTGGCCCGGGAGGCTAGCCCCCAGCCCCTCCCCTGCTGTTCCCCCTCCCCCGCAGCCTCAGCTTTGGGCGGCGGGGCTGTGAGCTCCTGGGGCAGTGCAGCTGCAGAGCCCGGCCTGACCCGGTCTCTGTGCTGCGTGGTGGCAGTGGCAGCGGTGTGGCCCAGCTCCAGCCGGGCGGCGCGGCTGTAGCGCTGCCAGCCACCGGTGCTCCAGGCAGCGCGGGAAGGGGGCAGGGAGCTGGGGGGGTTGGATAGAGGGCAGGGGAGTTCGGGGGGTGGTCAGGGGGTGGGGCGGTCAGGGGGGAAACAGGGGGGTTCAATAGGTGCAGAGGTTCCAGGGGGGCAGTCAGGAAGGAGGGGGGGTTGGATGGGGCAGCAGGGGGTAGTCAGGGGCAGTGTGGGGACAGGGAGAAGGGGTGGTTGGATGGGGCAGGAGTCCCGTAGTGTGTGTGTCAGGAATGAGAGATGGGGTTGGATGGGGCGGCAGGGGTCCGGGGGCGGTCAGGGAACAGGGGGGGTTGGATGGGGCAGGAGTCCCGAGGGGGCAGATAGGAGGTAGGGGCCGGGCCACGACCCCTTCCCCTAACTGGCCCTCCATACAATTTACGAAACCCGATGCGGCCCTCAGGCCAAAAAGTTTGCCCACCCCGGTCTAATCATTAGTGGTCAGAACTCCCTACCATATAGGAGGGAGGAAATGGCTATATGGGCTGTGCCATTAATCTGGTCCTGCAGTTACATTGTGGTAGTGATGTTTTGTTTAGATAGGACACCGAAACACTCTTTTCTTCTTCCTTTCCCTCATAAATTATCATCATATTACTGTAACTTACAATATGTAAAATTGTTCTTGGAAATAATTGGGTCAACCCAGTTACGTATTACATGCTGCCCTAGCTTCTAAGTGGTCTGGCTGTCTCAGATGGGTTGATTCTCATGTTGAGAGGAAATGACTAAGGCAGAGATTGAGGATATTGCTGCAGTCCATGTGGTTCACAGTATGTACACAAATTCCTATTCACCTTGAACACAGATGGTAAAAGCAACAGCAAAGTCTCATGTAGACAGGTCTGTTTTTCTCAAAAGTCAGCCAAAACATACACTGGTCTCAGCACCTGTAGCCAAGCTTTCCCTGTCTCTGTATCTTGCTTTACATGCACTGTCCCAGCTCTGATCTCTGTTTCAATTGTACCCCGACTATACAACATAAAGTCCTATTGTGGGAAAATGTGATTAGCCAAGGACTCAGAAAATCCTACCTCAGCAAGGTGAAAGACCACTTGGGGTCTAACAAAAGGTAGGTTACACAGGGCTTATGTATAAAAGAGATTTTTCCAGTTATACTGGTATAGTTATAGTGGTATAGTTAAACTGATGTAGTTATTCTTATAAAACTATCTATGTGACCACTCTTATTTCAGAATAAGAGTAGTTTTATTCAGTTTAGCTTAAACTGCTTCCAAAGCAACACAATCAAAACTGGGAAAAGGCACTCTTACACTGAAATAAAAATGTCCACATGGGAAGTTATATCAGTTAAAAGTTCACAATTACCTTAAACAGGTATAACTTTCCTGTGTAGACAAGCCCATAGGCACCTACTTTCTAAAGACCATTCTGCTTTCAAAGACAAAAGGTTTCAATCTAATCTTTCTATGACTGTAAGTAAGCTCCCCTTAACAATTTACCTGGATGTGACTACAGCAGGCAATCCAACCAATATGTCAGATACGGTGAGGTCCTTTTGCCACGCGTAAATGATTTATGGGTAGGGTGACCAGATGTCCCGATTTTATAGGGACAGTCCCAATATTTGGGGCTTTGTCTTTTATAGGCACCTATTACCCCTCCCCCCCATTCCCTATCCTGATTTTTCACACTTGCTCTCTGGTCACCCTATTTATGGGAAAGTAACATATCATGTTCCCCTTTCAGTAGTTCAGTAAAATGCATTGCTTTGTTACTTTCCTTTGTCACAACTGTACATCAAAGATAAAACCCTGGCACCACTGTAGTCAAAGGGAGTTATGCCATTGACTTCAATGAAGCCAGGATTTTGCCCTAAGGATGAAATTCACTCCAATGCTACAATGTAAAAGAGCCACATGAGCATGAAATCAGAAGCATTTAGTACTTAACAGGATCAAATTCATAAGCAGAAGTAGGGTGATCCTGCTTAAGACTTTCTAAGGACAGGCACACCAGTACCCATAATGCTAATCAAATTAGATTTTAATTATATTAGATACTATAACAATATATTTGTATCATAGCTATTGATCATTTTAATATAGAATGATAATAGAAAAGGAAGCAGCCAGCAAAGTCAATGCCAGGACTCCGCTTCCAGGAAACAGGAGGAAGTTTGTTTCCGTAATAGCTGAAAGATTAAGTTTGTGTGGTAACTTTGTGTTGTTTTGTTTGTGGTGACTATCAATTGTGTTTTACTGATAATATCTTGTATATTTAAATGATCATCTGCCAGCATCATTTTGTGATTTATTTTTACTGTCATGAATTTGCTGCCATATGTAGCATTTGGGGAAGACAAAGTGAAAAGGAAATTGCAGAATGTTCTGTAACTCTAACAAAGCCTTTGTTTCTAAGCATATGTCTCTACTGCTCTGATATTTAAGTTGCTTATCTTTTCTTGGCAGCAAAACAGCTACTGTATTGTCAGTCATTTGTTTTCTTTTTCTCCCCTATTATTCTGTTGTTTTCTTTCCTTTTTTTGCTTTCAAATTGCTGTGTAGTCTATGCCATGGAAATCAATCGTAAGTCTATGTGGGGAGCTGATTATCTCATTTAGTTAAATGCGTTCATTAGTCTTTTTCTTCCCTGGATATTAGTATTTTAATTATAGTGTTCTGACAAAATTCAGATGTCAGATTTTTGTTTTTTTACTGAATTGATTTCAAGTATCAAAGAAGCAGGGAATTTTTTTTAATTATAAAAAGAACTGATTGGGTACTACTTTATTGATTTGCAATTAAGTGCCAACATTTTTGTACATTCTATTGAGTTACCACCACAATGATCCTTTTTTAATTATATTATGTGAGTTGTTGCACACAGAGAATTTAATTTCCTTTGATTATCCAAATTTTACATTAACATTTTAAAAAGCTAGTTGGGTAATCGTGTTTTTGAGATGTACTTGACTTTCCATGTCCAGTTTCCACATGATAACCAGAAATACAGGATTAGTGTATAACTTGGTACCATGTTTGGAAATCAAGTTTGAACTTTCTTTAAATATGGTTCTGGCTAAACCAGACGTAAATATGTGTTTTCAGGCGAGTGTAGACAGGATCAAGCTGATTTCAAAATTATCTTCAAAAGAGGTTGAGAATGTTAGTTTTTGCAAACACTTTTAAAATAAATTGGTTCAGTTTATGCTGGCAAACCAGATCTTGCAAAAAATTACTGCTGGGCACAGTGTGTTTTATAAGACTTCAGTGGGAGAGTACTTGCCGCTGTAAAGTGTTCCACCTAATGGTAAGTGTTTGTAGGATCCAGCCCGGGGTTTGAAACCAAATTAACTGGAACTATATTTAAAGTAAGAACAAACTTAAGGCTTGTCTAAATGGTCGGGGAATGCACTCTACAGGGGTGTGATTTCTAAAGCACACTAACTTATTGCACTTTAATGGGTTCGTGTAGACCCTGCTGGCATGCACTAGTGCACTTTAACGTAGTACTGTTTCGAGCACTTAAAAGTGCACTGGGGGGATCTTTAATGTAGACTAGCAGGGTCTATACAGACCAATTAATACACAGTATGTTACTGTGCTTTAGAAATCACACCCCTGTATAGCACATTACCTACCATATATACAAGCCCTTACTTTTCAAACATGATTCATAGGCCAATATCTTCAAAAGTAACTAGTGACTTTGGGTGCCTGACTGGAGACATCTTAAACGGCCCTGATTTTCAGAACTTAGTGCCCATCTACTGGCCCCTTTTAGGTGTCTTGCCACTTGTTTGCCTCTCATATTAGGTTTTTAGTCCCTGTACAGTTCTAAATCTCACTGATGAATACTTCTGATCCTGCACCATTGAACGCAATAGGAGTTTTGCCATTGACAAAGAACTTACAGTCTAACTATGAGTTTGGGGAGGGAGGAAGCTTAACTATCTAGGCTATGGCTACACTATAGATCTTGCAGCACTGCAGCTGCACCACGGTAGCGCTGCTAGTGCAGATGCTCTAAGCCGACAGAAGAGAGCTCTCCCCGTTGACTTAATTACTTCAGCCCCTGCGGCAGCAGTAGCTACGTTGGCTGGAGAAGCTCTCCTGCCGACATAGCACTGTCTGCATCAGTGCTTATGTTGGTGTCACTTACGTCGCTCAGGGGAATGATTTATTCACACCCCTGAGTGGCGTAACTTATACCGACTTAAGTTGTATGTAGTGTGTACATAGCCCTAGTTTCCGCGCCCTGCAGCAACTTCAGATTTCCCCATATGGGCTTCATTCTCCACTTTTAAGTGGTTCTTTTTTTATTCTGGTATTAAAAGGTTTATATGTGCTTAGAGTTATGAGATCTCTACCTAGATCCAGTTTTGCTATTGGGGAAAAAAATCTAAATGTCCTAAGGGCTAAATTCTAATCTCAGTTACATCACCACAAATTTGGAATAACTATTCACTCTGAGGGGAGGTTATTTTGCATTTACATGGTGTAACTGGCAGCTGAATTTGGCCCAAAAACTCCATTTGGTTCTACTGGAAATAAACTCTTAACATGGATATTTGTCCTAGCAAATTTTATGCAGCTGTAATCTTTACATAAATATGATCAGTGTTTTCAATGTCAGGCAAGCACTGAAAAGTAAACCTTCAATTGTCTCTTCAGCTCCTTGTGGGGATAATCTTTATGATGAGGATGGTAAACGTCTCCCTCCATGCATACCTGGGGCCTGGCTCACTCCTGCTATCATGGCTTGTTACCTTCTGGTAGCAAACATTCTACTGGTAAATCTGCTGATTGCTGTCTTCAAGTAAGTGCTTAACTGTATGATTGTTAACTTATCTTTCTTATTTTCTTAATACTAAGATGAAATGCCTCTAAGAGCCTATCAGCAGGACCAAATTATACTGTGGTTTTGCAAATAGATAGCAATTTGTGAATTTGCACTACACCCAAAGCCCAATTGTTCTGTTAATGGGATTGACAAATATTTGAATTTTAATTGAAAATCAGTTAACGTCAGGAATGTTGTGATAATTGAGCCTACAAATTCACCTAATTGTGAGCTCAACTGTAAAAGGTGAGTGAAAGTTCATAAAATGTCACAATAGCCTACAACAAATGGTAATAGGAAAAGGTATAAAAAAAGAGAGGCAGACTGAATTAGTCCAAACAAAAAGATCTTGCTATAACTCAAGGACTGTGTTAAGATGGTGCCTGGTAAACAAGAATAGTGCAGAACGGGAAATCAATTAATCAAAATTGCTGTTCCAGAAATTAGTCCTAATTGGTGGACAAAATAATGAGGGAATGGGCTATTCCACCACTTGCTCCCTTTTGGGGCTTGGATTATTTTATTTTTTTTAAAAGGTGGGGGAAGAGAATCTGGGAGGGGGGGGATTTGGCTACTGGAGCGAGCTTCGCCATCATGGCTGTCATCCCTACTATCTCCTGGGACCCCATGCCTTTGTCTTGCTGATCCTGAGAGATGTCCTAATCAGACTGGGCCCCAGAGACCCACATGACATTGCTACTTCTGCCGGGTCTGGATAAATCTTAGCCACCACCCTGGATAAGAGACTTTCTATCCTTCCACCCCCCACACCACCACTTTTCCTTCCCTATCTTATTTCTTCTCTTTCCTGTCTCTCTCCTTTTTCCTTTTGTCTGATAAGAACCTGGCTTAGTGAGCTACTACTGTATATTTTGCAACATTGCTGCGAGCCTGTGACCAGAAAAAGGCAGCTAAAAGCAATGTCCTAAACAGCCCAATGCTGGTACAAGTGTGCCAGTGGCTGATAGATGAGATAGGGGTTGCACATGAGCATCAATATCAGAGACTGAAACTGCATTTTCTCTCTTTGCTGTTCTTTTCTATTCCCTCTAGTGTTTCTCTTGTTTTGTCTTCTTAAGAAACTGGATCAAACTTAAACAGCTCCAGCCCATTCAACTAACGCCTTCTCTTTTCCTCAAAAAGGACAATTACCATTTTAATACCATCTAAAAGACTTTCAAACAAGGGAGTATTACACTCTAAAACCTCTCTCCAGCTAGGGTGACCAGACAGCAAATGTGAAAAATCGGGACGGGGGTGGTGGGTAATAGGAGCCTATATAAGAAAAAGACCCAAAAATCAGGACTGTCCCTATAAAATTGGGACATCTGGTCACCCTATCTCCACTTAAAGGGAAAGGGAGCAAGGAATGTTATTAAAATGAAAGCCTTATTTAATACTTTTCATTTCAAATTCTTGAACTGTTTTTCCTTTTTCTGTATCTTTTAATAAAAGGTTAAAAGGATTTTTAATGGTGCGATGGCAGTGGTACCAAGCTGACTGAGGTCTCTGTATACCAAACCCTGAGCCTTGCTGTTTACTGACAGTGACAGTGTCTTGTTAATATGTTTAACTTTTGGGGCCTCTGTACACCATCTAAATTAATACAATGGGAAAGGCAGAAGAGGGTTTGTTACAAATTCATCAGGACTTGCAAAGATGGGTGTTAGAGAGTTTGGCTAGCTCAGACTGGCATTTAATTAGCAGTGATATCCTTCAGTGTCTCTCCCGATGAGAGCAATTTTTGTTTCTCTGTGCTGTGTGTATGTTCTCTGGGCAGGGCCGGATTAACTTTTTGTGGGCCCGGTGCCAAACATATTTGTGGCCCCCATTGGGGAAATAGGGCATGTGATGGGGTGCAGTCTGCAGAGCGAGGGGCCGGTTGGGGGCAATGAGACGCAGCACAGCAGGAGTGGCCCCACTCAGCCCAGCACAAGGGCACTATTTACAAACCCCAAACTGCTAGACGCACACTGGCCCGCCCAGCCCTGCGCTGCCAGCGTGCCCCTTCCACACTGCCCCCCTGCCCAGTGCGCTGCTCTTATGCCAGGGCCCCCTCACCCAGAGACCTCCCCCACAGATCCCTATGCCCAGCACCCCCTGCCTAGAGACCCCTCCCGCTGACATCCCACCACAACTACACAGCACCCTGCACACCATACCCCCTGCCCAGCTCCCCCACCCACAGATCCCCTACTGTCCAGCACCCCCTTCACAGTCCCACCATCACAGCTGTACAGCGTCTCATATTCCTGAGGGAATTTTGCATCAAGTTCTGTACATAATATTTTAAAATTCTGATTTTTTTTTTATAATAAATAAATGTGGAAGCTCCACTATGGCAGTGGGGAGCACAGGCCACTGGCTGCATGGAGGTGGGAGTTCACCTGCAGCCTTCCCCCTCCCCTGGGACAGGGACTTGGCAGTGAGGCTGAACCTGACCCTGACACAGCACAAGGGCCAGGCCTGCCACAGAAACACCCTGGGGCCCTGCCCCTTTTGTGCCAGGCACACCAGATATGGGCAGGGAGGCTCAGCCCAGCAGCAGGCTCCAAGTGCAGAGGGACTTAGTGTGGGGGGATCCAGATGGGGGTAAGAGGGTTCTGTGGGGGGAAGTCGGGGTGCAGGCAGCTCAGTGGGGGATCTGGATGCACAGGGAGGTGCCAGGTGCAGGGGCAATGGGAGTCTGCAGGGGGGACCAAGTGAAAGTGGTTGGAGCTCAGCGGGGTGGGGGGGGGGAGGGAGAGGCTGAGTGCAGGGGAGGTGGGGTTGTTGTACTTAAAGTACTGCACAGGATCTTTTCAGGGGGAATAAGGCAAACACCACATTCATTGGTAATACATGCATCAATCAACACTGTATCATATGCATATGATCTATATTACACTCATGCACTCACATACTCCATCTTGGTGTTGTTACCAACTAGTTGCTCCCCTTAACTTCACTGGCCAGGTGAGTTAGATAGGGGAGGGGTGGAGCCGGGCTTCTGCCAATCTGGATCAATGCTCCGATGTTGACAAAACCCAGGGTCCTCTGCAAGACACCTCACATTTATAGCAGCTTCCCTCTCATGCAAATCTATACCAGATTCAAAATTTGTGTCCGTTGGTCCTTTGTGCTACTTCCTTCTGGGTGTTGTCCCAATACTGTTCGAAGAGGGTGTTTCCAAAAGAAGGTGCTTGATTCTAAACCAACTCCCCGCCCCCCCCCCAGGCCATCAATATGTCTGCTCTTCTTTAGTGAGACCAGTTGACAAGTTTGATTGTCCTTGGGTCTGGCTTCCATCCCCTCTCCAACTAGCTGACTGGAGGTGCTGCCTTCCACGCCTTGCTCATTCACGCAACATGCCAATTGATTAAGGGAGTGTGGGGAGGGTGAATCTTATTCTACTCCTAGCAAAAAGACATTTTTCTTCTACTTTAACTATCCTTAGGGGCTATAACATTATACCAAGGCTTAACACAAAGTTTTCTATAAGTTTTTCTACATAGGGATCTGATACAAAGTTCCTATATCAAAGGACTTGATACAAAGTTGTATGAAAATAGCTTAATACAGGGTTATATGAAGAGGCATAATACAAAGTCATATGACAGTTAGAGGTTATATTGGATAGGCTTAATACAAGGTTATATAGAGAGGCATAAAGTTATGTGAAGATGCTTAATACAGAGTGTGACGAGTTGGATCACAGAAACCCCCTTGGGAGCTGCCACCCAATGTGCAAAGACTACCCCTGCTTCTGTTTTCCTTGCCAGCTCAGGACTCCAGCACCCTCTCTTGCCAGGCCAGACACTCCCGTCTGCTCCAACACAGACCCAGGGTCTGACTCACTTGTCCCAAAGCTACAAGTTTACCTGAAAATAGCTCACAGAAGTGTGCTTGTCTTTAGCACTCAGATGCTCAACTCCCAATGGGGTCTAAACCCAAATAAATCCGTTTTACCCTGCATAAAGCTTATGCAGGGCAAACTCATAAATTGTTCGCCCTCTATAACACTGATAGAGAGATATGCACAGTTGTTTGCTTCCCCAAGTATTAATACATACTCTGAGTTAATTACTAAGTAGAAAGTGATTTTATTAAATACAGAAAGTAGGATTTAAGTGATTCCAAGTAGTAACAGACAGAACAAAGTAAGTCACCAAGTAAAATAAAATAAAATGCACAAATCTATGTCTAATCAAACTAAATACAGATAATCTTGTCCTCAGAGATGCTTCAGTAAGTTTTTCTCAGACTGGACACCTTCCAGGCCTGGGCACAATTCTTTCCCCTGGTACAGCTCTTGTTCCAGCTCAGGTGATAGGGGATTCTTCATGATGGCTCCTCCTCCCCTTTGTTCTGTTCCACCCCTTTATATATCTTTTGCATAAGGCGGGAACCCTTTGTCCCTCTGGGTTTCCACCCCCCCTCACTGGAAAAGCACCAGGTTAAAGATGGATTCCAGTTCAGGTGACATGATCACATGTCACTGCAAGACTTCATTGCCCACTTGCCAGCACACACACATATGCAGGAAGACTCACAGGTAAACACAGCCATCTGCGGATAATGGTCCTTCTTAATGGGAGTCATCAAGATTCCAAACCATCATTAATGGCCCACACTTTACATAATTACAATAGGCCCTCAGAGTTGTATTTTATATTTCTAGTTTTAGATACAAGAGTAGTACATTTATACAAATCGGAGGATCACACTCAGTAGATTATAAGCTTTGTAATAATGCATTACAAGAGACCCTTTGCATGAAGCATATCCCAGTTACGTTATATTCACTTATTACCATATTTTTCTAAAACTATCCCAGTTAAATTATATTCACTCATTATCATGTTTTTATAAAACCATATAGACTGCACAATGTCACACAGAGATTTATCTACAGGGTTCATTTGAGTGGGGTCCAGGTGTAGGTGGTTGGGGCTCAGTGGGGAGGGTGTCGGGGGGGGCTCATCGGGGTGGTACAG